TCAGTATTACTTTACGTTTTATTTTATTTCAATGATTAAATTGTTCTTATCTCACCCTACAAGTCTCCTTATCCTTGCCCCCCACTTCTCTCCCCTGTTGGTGCATCTCAAATCATCAGTGGAAGAGGGGGACTCAAAATTAAAGGTATTGATTATTTTAGCATGTAAGGAGAAAAGAAAGATGTGCCAACAGGGTTCAAAATTACTTCATAAAGAATGAACTTACATTTTAATGCAGAGAAAGAGATAATACAGGTTTACCAAGGGGAAAAAAGCCTTTTCTTTAAAAGTTAAAGTAAGAAGTGACAGCTGATTAATTATTGCATTACAACACTAACTTTTGTTTTCCCTGCCTCTTGGTTTCTTCATCCCTCCCTCCATTCCCCTTCTCAGTGGTGCTTTGTTTTCTTTCACCCATTCTTCCCTTTCTTTTCTTTTTCTTGCTCTCAGGTCCATACTTCCTTGTCTATCCCCAACTTTCCTTTAAAGCCCTTTACCTCCCCAAGTCTTTCCCCCAAAGCAACCAGCATAGAGGGATAATTCTCAAACCACCCCTCTCCCCCCTGCCCGGCTGTGCGTGCCGGGATGCCAAGGACATGCATCCTCCAGCTTTCCCCGAGCCACAGGGACTATCAGCCAGGTGGGCTGGGAGCAGGAGCTCCACGCACCAGGTCTAGTAACCAAGCCACTGCCTCTGTCCCTGCTCTCTTGGACAGCCTTGTTCCAGTATAATCACAGAATCCCAGAGTGGTTTGGGTGGGAAGGGACCTTAAAGGTCACTCAGTCCCAATCCCCCTGCCATCAGCAGGGACACCTTCCACTAGACCAGGTTGCTCAAAGCCTCATCCAGCCTGGCCGAGAACACTTCCAGGTTGGTCAAAGCTTTGATACACATTCAGAGGCATTAGCAAAAGTAACATATAAAATATTTCAGATGGCAGGTGAATGCAAAACTGCCTGCCTTACTCAAAGCAGTACCACCTTCAAGAGGCATCTTCAGTTTCCTGACTGATTCTGTGGTTCAGAAATCAGAATCAGTGTCACATCAGCACTCGGGAGAGCTCTGGGGCTTTGGGTGTGTTCCATACTTCTGATTTTTTTTGTTTATTTTTTTTTGTTTATTTGTTTTGGTTTTGTTTTTGTTTTTTTTGAACACATGCATAGGTTAAATTCAAGTTGTCAGGCTGAATATCAAAAGGAAACAGCTGAAATCCTGTGGCCTGATCCATGAAGCAATCAGAACAGGTGAGCAAATGCTCCAGTTAGCCTTGATTTCTCTGACATTGTGGAAATTTGAGTTATTTGCTTTTTTTTTCCTGAGCACACATTCTGCTGTACTTTCTTTTCCTCTGCTTCTACCATTCTGAGCAGCAATTTCCCAGGCTGTACTGCAGAGCAATTCTCCCCTATTGTAAAGGCAAAACATACCGGATTTTGGGAAGGCTGCTGTAGCTCAACGCAAACAGGAGAGCATTAATCAAAAGTAGGCTGGCAAGCATCAGCGTTCACTATGAAGAAACAACTGGCTGTTCAGAACCCCAGCACATGGAAATCCATCAGAGGATGGGGTTACTGATTGTGATAAGGGTTTTCATTGTGTGACTGGATTAAATATAGCTTTATGTCCTTTACCTTTTTGTTAATCAAGTCACACACAGCTTGGGACTTGAACAAACAGCATTTCTGAAACTGAAAACTTCCACTTTCTAATGTAAGGATCCATGGTAATTCACAGACCCCTTCCTCTCTATACACTGAAATGAAACTGGAGAATGGCCCCGGCCTTCCAGGCCCAAGCCTCTGCAAAGACATGACAATTTAGATTTCATGACATGTACAGAGCTTGTCCAGACATTCAGGAATGTCACAGAAAGCAAAGGGTCAGAGAACACCACTGTGGCTTCACACAGGACCAGCTGCCCAGGGCACAGAACCTCCAGCACCATTAACACATCATCAGTCTGTGGCCTCTGTGTCTAAAGGAATTGCTTCAGCACAAGAGCAACCTCCAAAGAAGCTGGGAGAAAACAAGCTGACTTGTGAGCTCTGGGCACAGATAATGAAACAGGTCATGCATGCCAGGAAAACATTTCTCCTGCCCATGGCTGCATGGTTTCATGCAACCAACCATGGGTCCAGGCAGGAAAAGAGGAACCTCTCCTAGTTGATAAAGGGGAGCCCTGCAGTGATGTGTGCCGATTCCTGCACCCCGCACCTCAAGCTGCGCAGCACTAGTCCCAGAAACACCTGGCAACTGAGGCGAGATGCCACAGCACGTCAGTGCCTCTGGCCAGGGGTGCTCACAGATCCCTGCTCTGGGCCAAAAAAAGTAGTTTTATAACTTAAGCAGAGCAAATCAAAGCCAAATTGCTTAACAAACCTGAGGCTCTGTACCAGTCTGACTAAATGTATTACACACATTTGCACGAGGCTTGATGTACTCCTTACCCCACACCAAGGGCTGAGCACACAGACTGTGATACTCAGCCCACTGGTCCTTGTCCATTTCCAACGCAGGCTGTGAGCAAAAACCCTTTCTGGAGCATGAACAGCTTGCAGTGGCTTCTCTTGCCTACCACAAAAGACAGGACACAAGTCTGACTGCTACAGTTAACACTGTTTCTGAAAAGCTTTGAACCTCTATCATCTGTTCTTACTCATGTTGTACCTTCCAGAAGCTCGTTTCAACACACAGCCTCATGTACAAGAGGACAGACTAACTTTGTGGAGTAGTCTCCAGCTCTGCAGTGCCTTACTCACTACAAGCCAAATCCTGGGCCATACCCAGGTATCACTTCATTAACAGTTTTGAAGTATAAAATGGTTTAAAGTAGAAACCCAGTAATAACCTGGATCACAGAGACATGTCCCTCTACTATTAACAATCTCCCCCAGTACCAGAAAAGCTAGCACTTAATGCTATAACAAGATCCCAGGCCAGTATTCACTGTCACCTTGAGTGTCCCACACACATAGTAAGTAAGCACCTGCAAGAAGAGTTGTGAGAAACTCTTATGCTCAACTTTGACATTTATTGTCCTGAGAAGAATGGAGCTTCAGCCCTGACTGTTGTCCCCACCACCAATAAGGGACTTTTACCCTCCCTTCTACATGTTTCATATTTATCCACGTCGTTCCTGTTGGTTAGATGACATCTGCTGTGGAATAAATCCCTATAAGCCTGCAACTAATAAGCAGGAGCAATTTAGCTCCCTGCAGTATTAAGCGAGGTAGTTCAGTTTATATGCTTAAACTAATACATTTAAGAAGTGATTTACAAAGTCTGTACCTACTTCTTTGAAGACCTGAGTTAATCTCAACTTGCAGACAGGACAGAACTTGCTACCTGGTTTATGTATACTTTCTGAAGCTGAAAAAAGTCACTTCTAACATAAGCTGGTGCTCAGCGATGTCTGATCTCGGTCTTGTTGCCTGTGCACATTTATCACAGCTCATGGCATTCGATGGCTCTACAGAACAGCTGCAAACAGAAATGGCAAGTGATGGGAAGATAATGCACTTGGTAAGTGTCTTGTAGGTGAAATATTGCCCAAGCTTAACACATATCTATACATTTAAGGACAGTAAAGAAAAAAACCTTCTATCATGAGAAGGGAGGACTGACAATGCCAGGGCCTGAAGTGAATGATTACAAAGCAGCGACCGAGATCTGATCCTTTGTAGCTGCTTAGCTCTCCCCAGCTTTTGTTGATAAACAGGAGCTGAATAGCATTCAAGCACACCCCAAAGATTTTATACTGTCCCCTTGATTCATAATCTGCCACTGAGCTTTGTTCACTAGCTTCAGATAAACTGTTAATTAGGAGAAAGCCTCCATGCAGTCTCCTATACCTCTGCACGAACGATTCCATAGCCACACGGGCTATGAAGGCTGTGAACAGCGAGTGGGGAACAGCCCTCTGCTGAGGCAGCAGGGAGACATGGCCCTTTAGCAGTGATGCAGAGTGCAGCAGGGAAGGATAAGGATTATGTACCCCCTTGCAGGCCTTTTTGGGTCCTTAAACTACACCTTAACAGCCACCTCCTGCTCATGGGGTTACCCTTGCTGCACAGAAGACTACATCTCCCCAGAGAAAAGAAAAAAAAAAAAAGATTGGCTGGTGGTTTTAGGTTTGCACATCCTCCAAAAAGCTGAAAACTAATGCAACAAGGAAATGCTGAAGGAAGACACATGATATTGGTCTTTTGCAAGTCAGAAAACAGTGCTGCTAGGAGAGAAGCACTACCTGTAGAGTGAAATATGTATCAAAACTGCCTCGGTGACGCTCAAGTCGCACATACTGCAGCATCACGGCTCTGAGAAGAGGCAGATAGTGCTTATAGCAGCTTGCCACCCCAACATGGCCCATAAATTTATGGGCAGATCTAAACTGGGATATTCGAGATCAAAATCCACTTTTAAACGCACGTACTGCCAAGCAGAGCACAGAGTAGATGTGATCATCCTTTGTACCTGCAGTAACTGCCACAGGAATAAAATCCATCAGAAGGTCTCGGTCTGCTTTCCCAAAGAGGAATCACTACCAAACTCTTTCCTCTCTGCAAAAGGAAAGGAAACAGTAACACAGATCTGATACCAGAATCTAAGTATTACCACCCACTAGATGCTCTTTCTGCCACACTCCAATTACTCCAAAACATACTTGGGAAGACTAAGACATAAATGGGTCAATATGGACTAGTAGAGAGGTAAATTAGAAAAACCTGCTATTTTAGCACCACCCTCTCTACAGGAGGGGTGCAAAACAAAAGCAGACAAGTCTAGAGGACATTTAGTTAGCAAGTCACTTGTGTCTTATCTCAACAGGACTGAATAATTCATCCACACTTTAGAAAACTCCCATTCTTACCCTCAGCAGTGAATACAGTAATACAGTCAGATGAACAGGTATACAGAAATATAACAGAAGAGAGATTGACTCAAAACACTGCTCCTCCCCCAGTAACCACACCAATAAGTAAGACAAAAATCTGTTTGGCAGAGGGATCTGGTTCTCTCTTTTTGGTAATATCTTTTAACTTAAAAAACAGTTGCATTGGAGTCAAATAATCAAGCTCAGGATAGTCACAAAAAATAAAGGATGTATTTTTCTCCAAAGATCAAAACCATAACTAACATAAGATATTCATATCAGAGAAGTTCAGTGTCCAGAAAAAAAACCCAAAACTTTCCTGCCATATAAAAAAAGATACTGCAATTGTTTTACTGCTCAAGAATTTCCTTGCTCAAACTGCTTAATTCTGCTCTCATGGAAGTTTTGTCAGTAACTTGCTTTTAACTACAATGTACAAACAATTTTTCTTCACCACCCTCATCTTATCTAAAGCTCTTCTTTTGTTCTGGAGAGTTTTGTCGCGTGCTCCTCTATAAATTTGCTCAAATGCTCTAAATCTCTGTCCCCGCCTTCAAATTTAATAGGGTTATTCTTCTTGTCCCTCGGAGCAAAGTAGATAGTGGGGAACCCCTCCACTTTGTAGTGGTCACTTGTCACGTCGTTGGCAGTAGCGTCCATCTTGGCTATGACTAGATTTTTCTCATTCTTGTATTTTTTGCCTAGCTCGGTATACACCGGTTCTAGTTTCTTGCAGTGTCCACACCACGGGGCATAGAACTCTATGAGAACATCATTCTTTGGATCCATTACTATGGTATCAAAAGTTTTACCCACTACCACTTTCACAGGCCCTTTGTTATTTTTTGGCACTGGCTGGGACTTCACAATGGGCTTCAGTTTTCCTAGAAGGAAGCAAAACATACAGCATTGTTAGAATCCAGCAAGAGCAATCCTTAGGATGTTCCTGAAGGAGCAAGGGCAGAAGTGCATCCTCCTGCCAGGGAAAAGCACTGCGCCAGGAAATGAACTCACCTCTGCAAACATAGGCTAGCTTGCTGGTCACATTTCAGCACAGTAACTCATGAAATAGGGGCAACAATTTGTTTCACGCTTCCCTAAAACCTCTCACGCTTCCCTAGAACCTCTCTCCCACTTTTTATGTCCATCAACAATGTATCTGACAGTGATTTATTAGACTATTCCCAAATATGAATTATAAGCTCACACTTCAGAGCTGCAAGAACATTTTAGGCTTGACATGCTCAGTGTTAGAACACAGCTAGGTGCCACAGCACAGTGCAAGCAAAATTAAGGAACTGAGATTAAAAAAAAAGCGAGAAACATCCCAAAGCTTTAAACCATGGAGCACTGTAAGGTTGCACGTATGACTTTATCATAGCGATTGCCTCAGAAAAATCTTCTGGAAGAGAAAACAAAGCCACTGGCTTAGAGAACCCTCCTTCAGAAACTGCACCTTTTTTGAATGCCAGCACAAATTGCCTGAGCACATCAGAGTCAAACTCTTCCGGCTCCATGGCGTATTTCTTGCCGCTCTCATCCAGAATGGCAACGTTGACATCCTCTCCACTCTCAAGCAGGCCCAAATCTTTTATTTCAGAAGAATAATCTTCCTCATCAGAAACAGCAAACACATATTCAGGGAAATCTTTGGCCACTTCCAGGACTTTGCCTCTCCAGTACTGGGTAGCTGAAAAACCAGAACACGACTGGATTAGTAATTTCTAGTTACTTACTGCTTGCTTCCTCCCAAGTGGAGGACGGGTAATCTTTGCTAACTTACCTACACGATAGTCGAAACTAAAGTCTACAGAATAATAGACAACCACTAGAGGACGCTTAGCGTATCTCTTAGCATCGTTGGAAGGCTTGCGATGACCAACTAGAGGCAAAGCATGTTTTCGCACGTGCTCCTTCATCTCTGATCCATCTGCAGAGTCCTGCTTAAAAACACAGGGGGGAAAAGTTCAGGCAAATGGATTTCAGTGGCATTTCTGTTACATACGACTGAAAACTAATACTGAGGCATGCACGAATGAGAAAGAGGAGCATGTTAGAAACAATGCTGTCAGCATATTCTTCAAATCCTTCAGCCCAAAGGATAATTTAGTATTCTACCCTTAAACTGAATATTGCACTGGTAAATTATTATTTGAATGTGTAACCTCTAGGTTTATTTTATAAAAGTTTCTTGAACAAAGCAATACAATTTCAGGGGACAAAAAGGTTGCTTCAAATATCCAGTGGAGTACTTCCAACAGGAAAACGCCAACTGCTCATATATACAAAGAAAGAGAACCTTCAATCCACACACAAACTTTCTAGCTTTGGACCAGCTACTCACTTTAAGATCCAAAACATGCATCTTGGGCTCATGCTTTGACTGAAATTTTTCTGGCTGCATGACAACCACTTTTCCCGGAGATGCTTTCAGTAGTTTTGCAATCTCATTGCTGAAGGTGTGGTGGAACTTGTAATCTTCTCTTAGAGCATTAGCTGAAAAATTAAGGTTAGGGAGAAGGAAAAGTCATCAGGAAGTGAACTGACAGCCTCCAACCAAAATCTTGAGACTGCACTGCAAGGAAACACTCTTCCCATTCTCAGTGGGACACAGAACAACCCAGAGGCTTGGAAAACAGCTTTCACCCAGGGGTGAGAAGCGTGTGAAAAATACAGCACTGTTTGAATGCTGTTCAACAACCCATCTATTTGGTGAGCTGAGCAGCTTCCAAAACATGTGCAGTGAAACAGGTATTTATCAGTCTCCTAACTCCTGGCCTCCCCTCAAGTAACAAAGTAGAGCTGGAAAGGAACTCACAAGGTCACCTAGTCAGTCTATTCGCTTTGGGGCAACCTGGGAGACAGCTCTGTATCTTGCCATGCTGAAGCAGCCAAATCAGCTCCTAATCCAACTATAAATGTCCCAGAAGCAGGCAGAGCCAGGGGGAGGAGAACTGCCCACACTGCTCTCAAGGCTCTGGCAGGAACCCAGAGTTGCTGTGAGTAGTGTGATCAGGGAAGACACAGGGACTGACTAAGAGCAGTGAGCACTCCAAGGGCTCAGCGTTTTCTGGGTGCTAGCAAATACTGTTAACAGGACTGTCAGCGTGCCACGTCAAAGGGGCATGTTTTAAGAATAAACATGGCCAGGAATGGTCTAGCTGAACTGATCCAGAGGTGGATGATGATTCCTTCTCTAGGTCCCACATCCCACACAAGTTTGGCAGAGCTCAGCCTCTGGTACTGTCAGATATGAAACAAGCAATAGCAGCTGGCAATGCTAGCAAGGCTTTAAGCCAAGAAGTTGCAATTTGTTCCTCATTTAGGAAGTTCTCCTCTCTAGTTTTTAGGGACAGAGTACTAAGAGGGGGTATTTCCTGTGACTGGCTGTTCCTTTAGTTATAGCCTCAAAATCTAGTGTGAGCTTTTTTCTTGCGTATAACTGGAAGATCACCCTTCAATCTTAGAATTACAGAATCATTTTGGTTGGAAAAGACCTTTAAGATCGAGTCCGACTGAAAACCCAACACTGTCAAGTCCACCACTAAACCATGTCCTTAAGTACCACTCCTACACACCTTCAGGGATGGTGACTCCACCACTTGTGGGCAGAGCATCGCTTGAGCTGCCTGTTCCAATGTTTGACAGCCCTTTCAGTGAAGAGATTTTTCCTAATATTCACTCATCTTCCTTTTTTCCCTCTCCAGCCTCCCCCACCAAACTAAGAGCAGAAACAAAGGATCTCTTCATGTCTGAAGTCCTGGACAGAATCTCAAAACATACATCAATATTTTAAAACATTCTTTACCTGCTTCCTGATAGAGCTGATAGGCTTTGTCATTCTCTCCACTAAAGACACCAATGATGATGACATCATCCCCATCCCTCAGAAATTCCTGTACCTGCTTGGTAGCCTGAATCTGTTTGGACGGAGGACCAGCCTGTTCAATCATGTAGTCGACAATACCTGTGAGAAAACCCGTCCCCAGAAAGTTGCTTAGAACGTTTAGTGAACTGAGAGGTTCAGGCATTTCCCATAAACACCTTTCTTTCTGTGCAGCCCTTCCATAATAACTGAAAGACCAAATCCCTAAAACCCCAGTGCAAGTTTTTAAAGCTGCAGCTCTGGATATTCTCTCTCAGGTTGGTTTGGAAGCTGCAGCTCTGGATATTCTCTCTCAGGTTGGTTTGGAAGCTGCAGCTCTGGATATTCTCTCTCAGGTTGGTTTGGAAGCTGCAGCTCTGGATATTCTCTCTCAGGTTGGTTTGGAAGCTGCAGCTCTGGATATTCTCTCTCAGGTTGGTTTGGAAGCTGCAGCTCTGGATATTCTCTCTCAGGTTGGTTTGGAAGCTGCAGCTCTGGATATTCTCTCTCAGGTTGGTTTCAGGAGAGGTGACCAAGCACAAGTTCCATGGATACAAGCTGATCTTTCAAGTAACCCTCCTTTCTTAAATTCCAGACCCTTCATTGTCTCCTGAACCTGCTCTGAGCCAAAGTTCTACTTGGATAGTCTTATGTCTTCCCTCTTATTAAAACCTAATACCGAGCACCTTGCCAGCCCTTATGGCACATTCCAGTGCAATTTAAGGCTGCCCATGTACTTACACTGCCACTGCTTCACCGTGTGTATTTAACTTTATATTAAAAGGAGCTTATCATACCATAGATGTTACAAAGATTAGAGACAAATTTATCCTGCAGGCCTATGCAGGTACAAGAGCCCATTTTTTCCAGGTTCTCCCCACTACCATTGCTATGACATTAACGAGTCTGCAGGTCCTGTAGATCCATCAAAACATTAGCAGTCAAGCCCTCAGAAAACAAGAAACAGCAGAAGCTGCAGTACCGTATTTCTCCCGTGGACCACTGTAGTCATAAGGTTTGCCCTTGCGGAAGATTTTCAGCGTTGGGTAGCCAGTAACATCAAACTTCTTTGCAAGCTCAGTTTCAGCGGTGGCATCGACTTTAGCCAGGGGAATAGGAGGCGTGCGCTTGCTGAGCTCCTGGGCAGCCTTCTCGTACTCTGGAGCAAGCCTTTTGCAGTGTCCACACCTAGGGAAGGAGAGGGAAGAGCAGTTTTTACAAGCCAGGAGTCCTGCTAGGTACCTTCTGCCTCTGAAGTGGAAGAGTTAAATCTTCCAGAATGGAGAGAGCAGAAATGGGGTTATTCAACCTACAGAGAGCACTCCAGTCTAGGAAGACTTGTCTCCCCAACCAGAAGCTAGCCTTTAAGTCTGGCCTCACGTTACTATAAGTAATTTCATTTATAGAGGCCATTTTTAAACTAAGGACCAACTCCCTTTGGTTTTCAGTAGCTCTCAACATGTCCCCAAAATAGTAAATACAGAGAATCTTCAGTGAAGCTTCAGAGACCACCCCTTGCTGAGACACAGATCAGGTCTAGTCTTCAAGTGATCTGCAATGCAATCCTAGGTCCAGATTAGAATAACAACAGAAAATAGGTTCACCAAGCATGTTCCTGTGCTAGGAAAGTAGAGGTGACTGCCTTCTTGCTTACCATGGAGCATAGAACTCCACCAGGATTATGTCAGCAGCATTCACGACATCGTCAAAATTATCCTGGGTCAACACCATGGTGGCTTCTGGTGGAGGGGTCCAGTTGGGGTCAGAAACCTCCTTGACTTTGGCCACAATTGCTGAAATACAGTTCAACAGCCCAATTAGCAAGTTGGCATTATCGTACCAAACCCAAGACTTGGTGTCAGGAACTGGAAATCAGAGTGGCAAGCATGGCCTTGGACCAAAGCCTGCATGTCAAGCTTACACAAGAACACTTCCTTAATCAAGATCCTTTATGCTTTACTTTATCCTTGGTATTGCCAAGGAGGTCTTCTCTTTACCTCATACAGCATCTTACTTACGCAGAGCACAGATCTACACTCTGCAGCACTGTAGCACATGAATTCCATCTCAAAACAGACAGAAAAGGTAGTTTTTTCCCTTCTGACTGAAGCTGGACACATTCATTAAGAAACAAGTGGTTTTATATACAGTCAGTATCCAGACCAGATGTTTCTTATTAGGTGATCTTTCAGTAAGCATGAGACTCCCTCCTCTTCTGGTCAAGGCGTATCCCTAGAAACTGTCCATCAGTCACAGTACTACCCACCACCTGTAAATCTGTCCTCAAGCACGCAGCCAGTTGAGAACACAGGCAACATTTCAGCCTTCAGGCTATTATTCTGCTTAAGATAAAGTAACTTGAGATCAAAGTCCTTCAAAACAGCCACCTTAAGAAACAAGACCACGTACTTTGCTTTCTTACAGAGACCTGCAAAGGACTGGTGCTTACCATCTTCTGTCCGAGAGCCGTCGTAGTCAACGGGCTGGCCCTTCTTCAGGATTTTGATGGTTGGGTAGCCGCTGACATCAAAGCGACTTGCTAGTGAAGTGGCTGCAGTAGCATCTACTTTGGCAACTGGGATTGGAGGGTCATTTTCCTTCAGAGTTTTGGCTATCTTTTCATATTCAGGAGCAAACTGCTTGCAATGCCCACACCTGTCAGAGGAACACACAAGTAGATAGATAAATGTAGGACAGACCCATGGGGTATTTGGCCATTCTGCATTTCCAGGATGCCTTCTGACAGATGTTCACATCGACATAAGAACCTTTTCAGACCATGGAGAGGCAGAGTAACTGTAGCTACTGTGCTTTTTGTTCAAATACCAACTTTTTTTTCCCCCTCATTCAAAAGGCAACATGTTTCCATAAATGTTTTATAAAGCCACTGTAAAAAAAAAAAGTAACAATTCCTTTTAAAACAAAACTGCAAACCTTGTACCATGTTTCTCCTTCCTCCCTGGTCTCCCATCCAGATTTCAGCTTCTCCCTAATCCAGGTTCATCCTCTCCACCCAGCACCCTAACTTGAACTAAAGGGAAAAATGAACCAGTAGTTAAGTTGGTCTAATGAAATCTCACACCCACCACAGTACTGCAGCACCTGCTCGCTCTCTGGCTACCCCAGAACTCTTTGGGAAGAACTGAGGTTCCTGCTGCAGAAGCTGCCACAACAGAGGATACCAGCATAAGAAAAGCTGAATATGGCTTGACTAGCTGAAGACAAAACCAGGAAAATTAAGAAAAAAAGGGGAAAGTCATGTGTAGCAGACAGCCTGTACCCCTTAGCCTCTCAAGTGGCAAGAGGGGGAGTAGAAAAAAGGGCAGGCTGTGATGAACACACACCTTTCTGCTTGGATAAATGAAGCTTCATGTTCAGTTTTCATGCAGGCAAACTACAGCTGCAGAAATAGTACCTACAGCCAAGCAGGGAGGGGAGTCTCTGTAAGGAGAGCAGCTTTAGTTCAAATGCAACTCCACCTCAAGCAAGATCATGTTCTCCCTTCTATTCAAAGACTAGAAAAGGACAAACAAGTCGTCTTTATATCACAAAGCCACAAAGGAAGAGAGGTTCTGGCTGCAACACTCACTCAGCATCTTCACTGCAAATATATTCCACTCTTGTTTTCCCCACTCACCATCCCTACTGTTTTTGTCCATAAGAATGCAAGAGAAGACATGTTCTGCCCTAAATTCTTTGTCTCAGTTGTACACAGGTACACCCATTGCAGCTCCCCTGAGTGCACTGGTGCTACTCTGTGTACCCTGATATGCCAGCAGAATTATCATAATTAGGCAGATGTATGAGGCACTAAATTGACAATACCAACGAGCTATGGCCTTGATCACACCACACCCTTCCGGCAAGGACGGAGATTTGAACCTGAGAAGGAAAACCTTCTAGCAATTCCCCTGCTAGGAAAGTCTCCCCTGTTTCTCCATCTAGATGAGCACGTGCACAAGTTCTTGGCAGGCCAGCACAAAGGCACAACAGCAGGCTGTGAGACCACGCTGCCTGACTTGTCTGGGGCTCACTGGGACAGGGTCTGTCCCCTGACAGGCACAGGGCAGGGATGGCACCAGGGCTGTGCTTCCCTTGGCGTGGGATCCCTCAGCACCACCCATGTCTGTGGGGAAGAGGAGGCTGTTGTCTGTCACATGGTACAGGGAAGGGAAAAGGTACCTCCACACCGTCAGGACTATCTCCTACCTGGACTACAGCAGAGTCCAGTGCTCCTCCTATGTCACCTTTACAGCTCACTTCTTAGGAGGGTGCCCTGCCACAGAAGTCCCCAACAGCCACCCCATCCTGCACCTCAGGCTGTGAACCCACCATGGTGCATAGAACTCCAGCAGCACAGTGTCCTTGTCTGCAGTAAAGGTGTCAAAGTTTGCATCATTCAAGACTAATACGCCATTTTCCTCTTTGACCTCAGAATCATCATCATCGTCATCATCTTCGTCATCTTCATCATCATCACCATCATCATCATCAATTTCTTTTGTAACCAATTCTGGAAAAGTAAAAATGTGATACAGATTAGATAGTGTCAGGTTTAACAATACAATAACACTGCTGGGTTAAGGCTGGAATAACCATCTCCTGTGGTTAAAGATGTCTCAGCACAGGTCAGCTCCTGCTCCACAGATAGTGACAGCTACCTCAGGCTGCAGACAGCTTGGACTCGGTGTGTGACCAGTGCCAGCTCACTTCTGACAGGTAACAATATCAGTATTTCAGTAAAGCATCAATGTATGTTCTGCTCTTCAGGGCAAACTAACAAAAAGGGCACGACAAGAACTGATGCACATGGACCCACGTGGCCATCTCTGTGGCCGTGGTTGTTGTGAACACCAACACCAGCATTTCACTGCCACCCAGGCGGTTCAGAGGCAGCACCTCAACATTACGCTTCTGTTCCCGACTGCTCAGTCCCATCCCTGCCACCTCTAGTGCCTCCTGCTTGCAGTCACAGCGGTGCCTCGGGGCTGCACCTCACTGGAGAGGCTTCCCACCCACAGCAGCATCACTCTGCTCTGGATCAGCACTGCGCTGCGAGTATAGAAATCAAACAAGTGACTGTCAGAGGAGTCCTGTGAAAACCCTCTCCCACGCACTGGGCAGATGCAAGGTACTCCTCTAAAATAAATGGATTGAAAAATCATTGCAAAGAACTTTCGGGGAGGCCTTTGATTTAAGGAGACCAAAACTGCTGGTCTAGAAGAGGCCCTTCAAGGAGAAAGGAGATCTGCTAAATCACCAAAGCAAAGTTAGCAAACGAAATCTGGAGCCAGGACACTTCAAATGGTCCAGTCTTTGTCAGCCTGGGATTTGAGATGATTTTTTAACTGTTGATCTTTCACATATTCCTTTAATTTTATTTTATTTTTTTTTAAACTGCTGTCATTCAAGGCAAGCAGGCCTTCCTGAATGACTCTAAAGGAATTTCCGTCACAGAACAAGTAATGAAAATACCTTATCCCAAATGAAAACTGTGCAACAACAAAGCTAAAACCCCTTCAGCCACTGGGAGTCCCGGGATTAATTGGAGAAAAAAAAATATTAAGGTTTCTTATTCAAAACTATTTATTCTCTACTTAACTGTAACTGGCTTTTGACTAACCTGACAGGAGTTACTGCAGCAGGACAGCAAATCATGTACATTTAATTTACTTGTTCACAATAGAAATTCTGAAAATACTCTGGTTTCTCCTGGAATTTAAAGTTAAGAATGATAAACATGTAGTATCCAGGTATGACAAGGGATAAAAACAAACCCTGTTATTCTCAGACCAACACCAGACCACGGAACAAGCTCATTGTGGACAAAATTACACCATTAAATTGCAATAACCATTTCTGTTAGAAGTTATAAAAAATAAAAAGCCTATATGCTCTCAGGAGACAATATGAGCCCCTGGGGAAAATGCATTAATTTTAATGAAAAACCAACTTTATACACCACCAAAACATTAAAGCTCCTGCTGAGGGGAGAGATCACAGGAGATCATTTATCACCTAACAGCAGTCACCTGTTCCAGCTGCTCTGAAAGCACTGTTTGCAAGAGGACAATGCCTCCTGTGTCACTGCCTCTGAGCACTGGCAGTGAAAGGGTCGAACTCTGGAGACTGCAGCTGGGGAAAAAGCCAGTTTGCAGGAGTTTCAGCAGTCAAAGCTCCTGCTTACATGCTGCCCAGCAGTTCTGAGGGCTGTGTTTCACCGCAGGGGGGTTGGTCTGTGCCTGAATTCACAGCCAGTTGTGCAATGCCTGTTGCTTTTCCCTGCACATCACTTCAGACTCGCTTTTTCCTGACACAAAGGAATTGGAGCAAAACTAGGAGGCCAATTCTGCTTGCTTATCTCTGAAGCCAACCACAGGTGCAACTCTCATGCCTGCTTACTATGCTAACTACCTGCCCCCCAAAAAGAGAAAAAGACCACTGGAGTCTGGAAAAATACCAGCTACTCTGGCATAAACTCACAGCTTAGAAAGCCAAGAACAAAGCATCACCTCCAAAAACCTCCTGCACAAGTAGAAAATGCTAAACCACGAGATCTAACATCCATCGCTGGAATTATCTCCTTCACCACAAGGGTCTGTGCAGCCTGCCAACACAAACCTTCCTGGGCAGCACTGCATTGTCCCAGGCATTATACACACCCACTTCCTCCTCCTGGGAGATGGAGGCAGGACAGGACCAACCTGACAGCAGGCTTCCCCACCACCAAAAAAATAAAATAAAATAAAATAAAAATAATAAAGTGTTCAGCACACCTAAAAATTTGTCCTCCAGAGTGCAAACTCACCCTCTGTAGTCCCCAGCTTCACCAATACCTTGGGTCATCATAACCACCTCTAATGTCCCCTCGAGTGTTGGGACTGAAAGCTCTGCTTCAAGGACTTCAGCAAGTAAGAGAGAACTCAATGGGACTTTTTTAATTAAGAGGAAGAAACTTTCCCCTGCATTAATGATTTGCAATTTGAAGAGAAGAGATACAGAATGAGTCTAACTGTGACACCCGAAATGGCAGAAATAGCTAATAAATATTTGCATAAGATACGCATGAAAATACAATAGCTGCACCCAAACTGAAGTGTCTTTGTTCCTTCAAGCTACTTGCAAATGAGATGGACAAACCAACAAGTGACAGCTGTGGCTAAAGCCTGCCCTCCAGTAAAATACCCACCACTCCCTTTTAATCCAGCAAAGCATGTCCACACATTATCACACAAGTCAAGAAACACCATGAAGATGACAGTCACTTTAAGACTTCAGGCTGGCAGGCCTTCAGGATGACAGCTATTCTGACCAACATTAACTCTTACAGTAGCTTCACTGAACTTTCAGCATTGATTCCAGTCTGCCCTAGTCACCTTTTCTTAAGCAGGGTGAATCCCACATGAAAAAGCCATATCCAGACATCAATGACTTCTGGATTCTGCCTGAAAGTTTCCTTTTGAGGGCACTGCAGCGTCTGTTTCTCAACTGGATGAGCTCAGTTTTCAGACACACAGAAGTCAGGACTTGTAATCTCTTGCCAAGGCATTAGAAAGCTTTTTTATGAAAGCAGTCTTCCCCGTCTTTTCTGTACTGATGAAAGTGTGGAAGGGTCAGGACCTCGCCTGACCTCGCTGTGAGCATATCTGCCTTGCTGCTGCTGCAGTCAAAGTTCACTTCCAAAACCATGGAGTGCAACAAGCCGGGGTTCAGCTCAATTGTTCAACTCCTGAACAGTCAATTTACATGAGGTCACTTTCTTGTTGCAAAGTGAATTTGTTCAACTTCATACAGGTCTGCATCTCAAGGGCAAAAATGGAAACCCCTACCTACACCCATTTTCAAAGCAAAGGCTTGGTAAAGCCCAGCTTATGATTTATATACACAACAGAAACAGGAAAGCGATTCAACTTGTGCTAAGGGTTAGAGTTCAACTCGCTCACAGGAGGAAATACTTTCATCACTGTTTATCTCTGATCCTCAGAGCTCTTACAATGAGAAGAACAGCACACATGGGAAACACTGATGAGAGCCTGGCCCACGAGAAGCTGAGCTATTGCTGTCAGGGCCACAACACCCAGGCCTCGCTGTAACAGCACAGATGTTACTTCATCATCTGAAGGCAGCAGGGGAAATCAGTACTGGGCTCTATCACATGCTACAAAGCCAGGAGAACCAAGTGTTCTAGCTAAAGGCAGCCAGACAGACATAACACAGAACCTTCCTGTGAAGCTTTTAATTCGAAGCTGAAACCCATGTATCACCCTACTGCAGATACTGTATCCTATAAACAAATAAATCTCTCGATCCTTACCCTACAGATCATACAGTGGGTCACACAGGTAAGTACTCAACATAGACATATTTCTTCAGGTTTCAGTGCCGGTTCACCGACCAAGAACTTGCAGGGCAGGAGTTCAGGAGGTTATCCACAGCCCGCTCTCCCCCAACGCCTTCTAATACTTGTACGCCAGTGTTAATGTAGGAAATATGTAAGGTTTTTCTCAAACTCCACATGAAAGACGCTTCGAACCACAAAAGAAGCACCTTTAAATGCCTGCCTCCCACGTACAGGCACCAAACCAAGCCAGAGCAGCTTTGCTTCAGCTGATTTTGGAAAGGAGAAGACACGCCTCAGCGAAATGCAAAGACAATGGGGAGAAACACCGAGAAACTAGCAACAACTTACCTTCCTTCTGGGGAAAAATAATAAAGAAACCCGTTTCAAACACAGAGGTCCCCAGATTAAGGGGTGGGGAAAAGAGTGCGCCAG